GTATTTTCATAACTAATCAACATTCAGAGCCAAGACACTTTTCATTTTGTTGAGAAATGTTTAATGTACTTAATTATGTAGTTGCAATTTTAGATTAGTTTGTAGCTTTATTACAATAATCTTTTAAAAAAGAGCGAAAAAAGGATACCGTTAGCTGGACAAGCCGTCAAGTCTTTTTAAAATATTTTCAAAGTCAAGTCATGAGTCATAAAAAATTTCCCAAGTCCAGTCAAGTCATTTTTGACTTGATTCACACAGTAGATATACAATACGAATATAAAAGGGAGCGCTTGAACTGATCAGAAAAAAAAACGTCCTCGATGTTTCATTCGGGTTTTTTTCATATAAAAAGAAAGAGATGATGACATTTTTTATACGTTGCGTAAGTTAATCGAATGACTTAATGTGGTCTACTCGGTTGAATGAACAGACGAGAGTAGTTCATCATTGAAATATGTGTATATCTTTGAAATATCTACAGATAAGGACTTATAATATGATATTTTTCTTCTCGAATTATTAAAAGAAAGTCATTCTAAAGAAGAAAGTTATTCTTCTATATTTTAAATTTTGTATATATTGATTACTTTAAAATACTTCTTTGTCTCCTAAAGTGTAGCTAAACTGATGGACGTTGTTACAAATAACTTTGAGAGAAGGATCTGTTGTACAGGTGTGCAGGGTGTCCTCGGTTTGCCCATACGAGTATTGAGATTAAGAAAATGCTTGAATGAAAAATCCACAGGGCACGGCAGTACCAACTCATGAAAAAATTGATGGTTTCTAGACTAGTTTTCAAAGCTTGTTGAATCAAGACAGATCTCTGAGAGAAAAAATTAGCCGTTCAGTACATTTTTAAAGTGTTTGAAAAATACAGCTGACAAAATGGTTTTTATTGTTTCCTCACGCGTATCTTAGACGAAAAATTTCATATTTGGATTGTAGAATGGTATAATAATGAAATTTGAAGATTCACCGGTTTTTCAAGTGCAACTAATTCCACATCGATATACAAAACGAAAACTTAGTGTATTTAACGAATGGTACACTATTTTGACAGTTGCTCTCTCAAAACTTCTTCTCAAATTATTTTAATAATATTCTGGATTATATCAGATAACAAATTTTCTGTGATCAAATGATTGATTGCTGAAAATCCAGTCTGTTATTTGTGAGAATTTTCTTGTTTTATTATAAGAATCAAAAACTATGCATTCATTTAGCATAATTGTATATTGAAATAATAAGAAATCAATAAAAAGAGAAATAATAATGATTTATTAAGCGGTTTCTATACTACTTAACTATTCAGTATGATCTAGTATAACGTAATATCTATCATCATATCAAGAACATATGCAAGTCTTCAGATTACTTTTATATCCAAGTTTGTGAGATCAATTGCCGTTCTCTTCTGGTGTACTTGCTACTCGCCGTATTTATACTCCATTTCTTAACACTAACCTATAACCTTTGACCTTGAAATAAAAAACGTTGTCTTTTCAACGCAGAATAAGTGTCATAATTTAAAAACTCCAAAATGTAATCGTATAAATCGCAGTATGAATCTGAATGATTGTCAATAATTGATACACCGAAAACATTAACAGTACTCTACGAAGAAAGATGACTAAAGCTATCGTTTCTCTTCTATTACCTGTTTATTATCAGTTTCAAACAATTATTGAATCAACATACCATAACGAATGAGACTCTCTTACTAAAAAAATCATCTCAATATAGCACATCTACTATGAAATTGAGCAAACTGCAGTTGGGCTGTAAATAAAAAAGTATGCTGATTATTCAAAAAATGTGGTTTTCAATAAAACACATTGATTATTGACCATGATCTAAACAAAAGAAAAAAAAAGGCAGCACGTCTCATACTTTAACCATTTTTTTTTTGTTTGCAAAGAATATCTTTCTTCGACAGATATAATCTGAGGTCATTTGTGTGTATTGTTCATTGATTTGGATTCTTTAATGTTTTACATATTTGAACAAGTCGAAGCAAAAAGTCATCTACCAAGTTTATAATAAATTTTTGAAAAAAAATGACATTATCCACGATTTTAGGTATCAACAACAGCTGTTTCATCTTGCAAATGTATTATAAACTTTTATTATTTACTATTTTAGAAGTATGTACGAGTACAAATCGTAATGAATGCTTAAAACCGGATTCGTAAGTGATGTGACTTGGTGAATTCTCCTTGGAATTAAGTTAAATAACAGAAACCACATCCTAATAGAAATTGAATACATATCAGAATTTTTTCAGTAAAATATTATCGAAAATATGTTTAAAAGAAGTTAAATTCTCCAGATAGACCAATTGTAGACCTTTAGTTAAAAAAAGAATTAAGCAAAAAACCGCTGTTTTGGGGTGAAGGTTTTCTTTACCTCGACGGATATCAGAAAGAAGATGTGGGTTAAAATCGTTATGTCCGTCAAATAACATGAAAATTATTACTTTTTTTTACATGTAACTTGAATTAGGATACTTGATAAAAAATTAGACTTTTATTAAACTTAATTTTCAAGTACTCGTATTATCGTCGCTCATTTTAGTTCCTTATATGATATTCTCTTTTCTAGTATAGAACGTATCGTTGAACGACGGTATTATGTTAAGAAGTCTAAATCAAACGTAAGCCTGTGTCATATTTTCTGTCTGGCAATATCCATACACGTTTGTTAGTTTCTCTTTTAGAAAAGAAAAGATCTTCAAACATCATCGGATGATTTACCAAAATCTCGAAAAAATTCATCACTTTCATCATGTTCTCGATGTTTATCATCGTATTCTGAAGATTTAAGAGATAAAACAAACAATGTTCAAGATGAAATTAATCAATTAAAGTGACACAGCTCTGTTGCCTAAAATCTACATATAATTAGAGCAAAATACCGTATTTTTCATTTCAGAGCAGAGATTATCGAACTTCAATCGAGTCAGGCAGCTTTATTGCAACAACAACAAATACAACAACCTGAACCATCTTATCAAGAATCCACTCCATCTTCTTTTCTAGCTAAGCGTTATGTTTTACAAACGAGCCTAAATTCACAAACAACAATTCTTACAAAACCCGCGACAGTATCGCTTTTTCAACCAATTCATGAAGAACAACAAGTACAGCAGTCTCAAGAGCTTACATTCACACCATCAATATTATCCGCACAAACTCCATTTCGTGCGCAATCAACAACATCAAATGTATCAAGCATTACGGATATAACGTCAAACACAAGTTCAATTCAAGCATCATCACAACAAGAAACAGCCATAATTATTAAATCTTTGGTCAGTATTCTAATCAAGTTTTATTATTTTATCCTTTTGATAATTTTAAATTATTTACTGTTTTAGTCAAATGGATCAGATCATAGAAGAAATACGTATGAAAATCAACCATACAAGTCTGTTTCTTCAATCTCATCCGGTGTGAACAAATCGATGAATGACACTAGTTGTGAACAAAAGAGCCCAAACTCATCGATACATTCTACACTGGCTATAGTGCCAGATAAAACAGATAATAACAGACAAAGCGCACAACAATCAGTTACCCCTATGCATGATTCAGCCAATCTTCAAAATCAAACCCTTTCAGCACAAGCACCTCGCCTCAGTTCACCAAAATTTTCTTGCACCGTTCGAACGATTTCGAGTTGTAGTAGTGATTCAAGGCCTTCCTCCATACATCAAGCATCTCCTTCCCCGTTTTCTCCTGTTTCGTCAAATAACAGCCGCATAAGTTCTATTGCAGGTTCACTTAGTAGCTTATCTTCTACAATATGCAGTTCTGTTCAACAAGATACGTTAACATCTCAAAATCTATCTCGCTTTTCTGATTCAGCAGAAAATATTAAATCATCTAGTCCATCATCACTTGATACTGTTCTCTCAACGTCGCCTTCACCGGTAAACTTGAGCTACGCACGAAATAAATCGCAGAATAATAATATACCACAAGGTAACACACGCTGCGAGCCAACATCACGATTGTTTTCTAATCAAGGTTTACGACCAAATTTACTAACTAAAGAACGTGAAAACAACTTTCAAACAAATCAGGCAATACGACCAAAGGTAGATTAGTTTATAGTGTTTTTAAATAGTTAAATGTTGTTAGATCTCATGTATAAAATGTAAATATTAAAGTAAATTAAATGTTTTCTTATTTTAGTTCTCTACGTTAATACCAAATGTAAATATGTCTACAAATACGCAATATAAACCTACTCCTCACACTATAACACCAAATGAATTGAAGAATTTGACGCAATATACTGCACAATTGCATAATTTTCGTGCGCCCAGAATGTCTGCAGTCCAAAATCCTCAAACAAATCGTATATTTTGGAAATATATCAATACATTCATGAATGGTAATCGTGGATCTACAGCAATAATGAACAATCGCATATCGAGAAATATGGTCTTCCCGCAACAATATCGATGCGCTGTGAATCGTATAAGGCCAATAAACAATACACTTTACTTTCGGTAACAACAAAATAATAATATTCCGATGGTAAGCACCAATAATGAGCAATGAAAATTTTCTTATAATTTTCAAAACAATTCTATTTTAAGCAGATCGCTATCGCAAATGAAAAAGAAACATTTCTTAAGATTAACAAACTTATCATAATTACCACTTCCAAATCATAACAACAATCACCAAAACCAAATAGCTACTTAATTTAGGACAATATTAGTGATTATGTACCTTCCTAAAGTTTTCTTCTCCGTCAGATACAATTAATTTGTCAAGACGGAGCGACCCAAACATAAAACTTGCAACAAAATCAAAAAGCGTAACACCGCTAGGACGCTATATATTATGCCATCTGAGTAAAATCTGATTCTTTTTCCTCTCCAGTTGAATTAATACGTTTTTCTTCAATTTAAAAACTTAGTGCATCGTCATTAATTGATTTAGTCGATTCAGGAATATCCACATCATTGAAAAATATGTAAAGTGACAACGAAGAGAGTTTTCTTTTTTTTTATTCAAGCAAATAAAATAATAATTAAATAAACTGCGTAATTCGCTAAACTATGCTACGATATCGAACGATTTTCTCCCACATTAGCTGTTTGTAATGTTTTTGCACGTTCTGCTACCGTTATTGCTTTATGTATAATTTCGGAACATTTTTCACGTCGAACAAGTTTATTATTTTCAAAATAGCCTACACAAAATAATAACCAATAGTTCGTATCACTGTTAAGAATAGTTGAGACCGTAAGTTATGCTTACCTTCGTTTCTTGGTAGACCGTGTCCTCCATCCGAAAATGTTAGTAAACCTAAACCGATAATTTTTCCATCTTTAAATTGTCCCTCATACTTCATTCCATCACATCTGGTAAATACACCAAGTCCATTGTAACGGCCTTGAGAAAATTCACCTTCATATCTAAATAGAACAGGGTTTTTTTCTATTTTTATTGCCCTATTCAACGACAATTTAACTTACTTTGAACCATCTGTATAGATAATCAGGCCTAATCCCGTAAATAATCCATTTTCAAATTTTCCAGAATATTTTGAACCATCAGCAAATGATAATTTTCCTAGACCATGTCGTTGACCATCATTATTCCACTCTCCTTAAATTCACGAAAAATATTATGTACATGTAGATCATGTTTTACTAAAAAAATATACAAAAAACTTCAATTGTACCTGTATATTCCGATCCGTCTGGATATCTGAATGTGCCTTGCATAGCTGGTACTGAATTATCTTCTAAATAAAAAACAAATATATTCAAATTTTGAGCAATAAAATATACAAAATATAAAGATAAATTGAAAAATCGATATACAGATGTACAAAAATGGTATGGTATCGGGTAGCCCAGATAAAATGGGATGGACAATTTTGTTCGTTGTTTTTGAGGCACTGTTCACTAGTTCAAAGAGTTCGTTCTAAGCTCAATCGATAGAGAATTGA